GAGTCAATGAAACCTCTTTCCTTTATGAATTAATTACCCAGTCTGGGGCAGTTCTTTATAACAGTGTGAAAGTGAACTAATACAAAACGCAGACGAAAGCAGTGTTCAGGGAAGCTGGTGACTTGCTTGAGGTCACAGAGATTCGCATTTGCCTCTAGGACAGTGTAGGACACAGCTCTGTTTTATTGGACACTCCTACTCACTTCTCAGGTACCATGACTCTGGATAACGATGGCATTTTACAAAAACAGAAGCCCTATAAACATTTATATAGATGAGTAGGTCATTCTAGAATTTTTTTGTAACTGAAACCTTGAGATTCCTACCCACCTCCCCTCCCCCTCGTAGCCCTCACACACCTGCCGGCCATAGGCTGAGCACACAGTTCATCCCTGCTGTTCCCAATGTCCTCCTGTCTGTGGAGTTCATTGGAAGGAAAGAGAAAGCTCGTAAAGTGCAAGCTAAAAGTAAATGCTTCAAAGAAGGTCACTGACTTCGCAGATAGTCTAGCCAGGATTATTTTTCATTTTGACACACAAAAGGGATAGACTTTAAGATTTCTGTACTTGTTTATGGCCTGGTTATTAAGAAATCCAAAAATAAATAATTTAACTGAAAACATTTTAGGCCATGGCTTTGTGTAGACGTTTTTCAAACTACCATGGCAGAAATATGGTATGTACAGTTAAAGGTTTCAAAATAAAAAGCTGCCTTTCTAAACCCAAGTATGTATATTCTAGAAAATTCAGCTCAAACTTCCTTCAACCATCTGAATTACAGGTCTCTACTATTTTGTTTTGTTGGCTTGTGGTTGCTTCAATTATCTCACAATTTACTTTCAAATTATTTAAAATATAATCGCAGACTGTGGATACTTTGACAGAATAATATGATTGAAAAAACAATATGTGGATGATAAAAAATTTTAAAGCAATATTTTGATCACATTTTGTTTTTTGTCTTTCTCACTTGACAGTTTATCTCAACGTGTTCTCATAAGAAATGATTTTAATGTCTGATATTCCATTATGTGAATTTATCATGACATATTCTCCTGTTTCTGCACATTAAATTTAGTTTTGATTTTTTAGGAATTATAAATAATAATGTGCTCAGCATAATTGATTATCCATTCTGTGCCCAATTCTAATTATTCCTGTGACAGAATTTTAGAAGGAGAGTTACAAAACGGAGTGTCTAACCTTATTAAGGCTCCTGATAAATATTTGTTTTTCTCAATTGCGTTTGTATACATTTACACATCTGTGGCTTCAGAAGTACTATTGGCCAGGCGCGGTGGCTCACGCCTGTAATCCTAGCACTTTGGGAGACTGAGGCAGATCACTTGAGGTAAGGAGTTCGGGATCAGCCTGGCCAACATGAAAAACCCTGTTTCTACTAAAAATACACAAGTTAGCCGAGCGTGGTGATATGTGACTGTAGTCCCAGCTACTCAGGAGGCTGAAGCACAGGAATCACTTGAACTGGGGAGGTGGAGGTAGCAGTAAGCCAAGGTCGCACCACTGCAGCCTGGGCGAAGGAGCGAGACTCTGTCTCATTAAAAACAAAAACAAAAACAAGGTCATATATATGATTCTGACCTCCAAAGTAGAGACGGTGTCTCCTCAAAGCCATAAATCTGTAGGGTGTTTAGCAGGTAGATATTTTGTATCCTGATGAATTTCAAAATTCTTTTGGTATTTTATTATTCTCTTCTCCTTGGGTTTTTTTGGCTTTATTGAGATGATTTATATGATTTTTAAAGTCAAATAATTTTATAGGCTAACAACAAAAATAATTATAAGTACTATCTCATACCAGTTTTAAAATGTATGTGTATGTATTTGTGCATTCAAATGTCAAATGTGAGGTATATACGTGTACAAATATGTTTCAAAGATAAATATTTTCCCCTTTCATCTTTTCTGTAAATTGTAGCTAGAATTGCATTTCTAAAGTAAAGATACACATAGAACTCTCATAAAATGCTGTGATAACATTTTGTCTGTATGACAAAGGGCTATGTCTGTAATGGGGCCTGGCAGCCCTCCTAAGCTAGCCCCATTCCTCTAGCCTTGACAGGTAATTTTACATATTCCAAATATGTCACATATTTTTGTACTATGTCCTATGCCTAAAGGAAGCATGCTGTGGATTTTTTTCTTCCCACTATTCCTTCACTGGAATACCTAGACTCTCCAAAGGTCCAATCTTCACACAAGAATTCCCAGAATGCTGACTGCCCCATTGAGATATTTAGGCACCGGATCTAAGTCTGTATGACTCTGTTGGTTGAATGAGTACTATTTTTAAAGCAAATATACTGGAAAGGTTATAAGGTCTGGAGTGGTCATTTGGTCATAGTGTGCATTTGTTTAATTTGATTATCCTCTTTCAAGGGAGCGAAGGAAGAAGTAGTATTGACTCCTCGGAGCAGGCTTGAGTGTTTTTCTAGGGCTCTTGTTTTAGCAGGTGAAAGTTCATAAAGACCTTTGTACCTCTGGGGAAGGAAGGACAATTGGCCTGGGAGGCAGTTGACCTGTAATTTCACAAGCCTTGGAATTCTGCTTGTGGCTGACAGTTTCCGATAAGACTATCTAGAAATCTGGTAGCTAGTGGCTCCTCACTCCGAATAGGGAAGTCTTACCTTCCTCCATACCTTCAATTGGAGCCAAGGAGAAGGTGTGGAAAATGCATTTTTTAGATCCCCATGTATGAGTGACATTCCTTGCCACATCTGGATTGGCTCTATAATAGTGACTGGTATTCCTTGTCAAAGTAATTCAAAAGTGTACAAGGACAAGAATTGACATGTGCTAATACCAGTATTTAAACTGTTGGTGAGAGAACTAGGCAGCAGTAGCTAGGGAGATGGAAGCCCCAGGCAAAGGACCTTAGGTACACATTTCTGTTGGTCACAGTGTACTCAGCCTATTTAATGCCAACGTGATATCAAACCAGTTAATGAAACAAAAACACTTATTTGAGGACTTCAATATGATTAAAGATAGTTTCAAATTCTAGAGATTCCAGAGAAAGAAACAAGAGGTAAAGAAGTTATAATGCAACATGATAAAGATGGTTTAACATTTTAAACAGATACATAAAGATTTCCTCCCCACCCCCACTCCCAGAAAAGCCTCTAGAACAATTCTAATCGCATTTCTTCAAGCATCTCCTGGGCGATGATGCCATCTATGCGTAGGTACAGAGAATTTTGGGATCCAGATATAAGCTTGCAGCCCCATAGCCGATAGCCCAGTGGGAGGCAAGCTTGAACCTGCTGATAACATCCAGGGACAAATACCAGGAATGTAAGAGCAGAAGGATGAGCAAGTTGCCATGGAAATGGTACACAGAATATCAGTTTCCTTTGGGAAGGGAAAATCTAACATGAAAGGTGATATTTGAATCGAGCCTTTAAAAAAGCACAGAAATACATCTCCAGCCCCAATTCCTTGGCCTCTTTATCTGTTGACTACAGTACTGCAGGGGACCTCTAGCCTGCCTCTCTCAAGGTTTCGTCCTCACTTTGTAACAAATCTTATCACAACATCCTCATCTACCTACCTCTTAGCCTCATCACTGAAACTAACAATAGTCCACATCATTGAGCTCCAAGCTTCCAACAGGATCTGACCTTTGAGTCACTGGGGAGGGAGGGAGGGTTCGAGAAAGAAACATTTCGACAACACACTTCTCCCCAACTTGACCTTCACTTCTGCCACCCTGGACTTTTCCCTGGTCTCTGAATTGAGAAAGTCCTTCCTCTTCTCTGCTTTTGAAACGGTGTTTTATGGTCTTGTGTATATTTAACAGGAAGTTTTGCATTGTCCCTTCAGGTCTCTGCTTTAGTTTGTGTATGCATTGTAATGTATATTATAGATGTGTGATTGTTTCCTTAATGAGCCTCTCCCCAGTCTGGAGTCTCAGCCCCTTGAGGACAGGCACAGGGCCTACCACATTGCATGACAAGTAGAATGGACTCAATAAATGCTATTTAAGAAAAAATAATGAATAAATGCCAATCTCCCAATAGAAGTAAATTGAGAAAGGGCGAAAGGTTTAGCGGGGACAGCATGAACAAAACCTTGTAGTCATGAAAGCACAGGTCGTATTCAGGGACCCACAGTGAGGGTTAAGTAATAGAATGCACTCAGGATGAAATGCAAAAGAGGCTGGGGTGTTCGGTTTGGTTAAGATGCTTGATAGCATGCTTGTGTTTTGGATAATAGAATTTACGATAATGTAGATTTTGAAAAAGTTATGTGTGAACCCTATTTTGTTTTTGAGTTATATCTGGACTGCAATGCAGGACAGTAGGCTAGCAGAGAACCTGGAGGCAGGGATTTTGGTCAGACTTTTTTTTTTTTAACCTTTCCACTGGTAACACTAGGGCAAAAGAACAAGCAAGGCCAGGAAATCAGATTAGATATTAAAATCTATTCTGGAACTTGAAAGTGAAAATTAAGTGATGGTTTGGTGTTGCTCTTGTCTTTGGGCCAGTAATAAAGAGAACTGTAAATGTGTTTTGGAGGACACCTAATAGCTGCTGCCCAGCTCATGTGGAGCTGGCCCCTGGTATGGGGAGAACGCTAAAGTCATCCATGCCTTCTGTTTCTTCAAGTGGATCAGCTCCAACAAGTACAACTGAATGACATCTTCTGTGACCCTCACCTCATTTTCTTTTTCATTATTATTTTTTTATTTTTGACACATAATAATTATAAATATGGAGTACTTAGTGATGTTTTGATACATATAATGTATAGTGATCACATCAGAGAAATTAGCATCTTCATTGTCTCACATGTATCATTTCTTTGTCAAGAATTTTCACTATTCTTCTAGCTGTTTGATCCTATATATTATGGCTAGCTGTAGTCATCCTAGAGTGCTGTAGAACATAGAACTGATTCCGTCTATCTAGCTGCAATTGCATATCCTTTAACAAAGCACTTCCCATCCCTGATTATTTTTATTTATTTTAGTTGGAAAACGCTGTGATCTGAGCTCATGGATTCCTATTCATGGCTTGATCTTGAGAGAATAGGACTAGCACTATATTGTCAAATTGGGCATAATCACTAACATTTTCCTGTGGTAAACACAATACCCCCTCCACCTTCCAGAAGTCAGCGACTGGATTGCTTCCCTGGTACAAGTTCCAGTCCCTGGCTACAAGAGGGGTGAGGTGCATCAGGATATTTTGTGGTTATTTATTTTCCTCTACTAATTTCATTAAAGCATTTCCCCTGAGAACTAAAGCTCATTACATTAATCCTTTAACAGCAGAGAAGAAGATAGGAAAGAGAAGGGGAAGGAAAAGGAGGCTTAGCAATAAGCTATTGGAAGGTCTTTAGAACACAAGATAAAAGTCCAAACATGCAGCTGCACCTGTACAGAAAGGAGAGGAAACAGAATAGGTGTTTTTGGTGTAGATGCTACAGGTGCCTTTGTTGTTGGATATGGGTGTGCATTTGCTGTTGACACAGCATCTAGTGAGCATCTAGATTTGGGGGAATAAGTATATCTCCATGTGAAGGAACAAAGGAAGAACCAATGAAGGAAAAGGGAAGTATGGGGGTAGGGGGGGAAGGTGAAGACGAGGTAGTAACTGATGCCAAACATTGATGAGCATCATGTTGGACAACAAAGTCCACAGTTCTCAGGTCACGGGTGACATTGGAGAATTTTTTGCTTCAGGTAATTTAAAATCACCTTAGGTCACTGGAGTTTAAGTAGAGAGTTTGTGAAGGAGTCAAAGTATTGGTAGAATTGTTTGCTGATACTGGTGATGGTTATAGTAAAGAGAAGAAATTGTTGAAGTAATGAGAAAAAGAATAATGTGAAAGAATCACAGATTTTAAAAAGGCAATAATTGCTTGTTCAGTTAAGGGTTATGTTAGCTATAACCAAGTTTCCCAGCCGGGAGGCCTTGACTCTCTTCTCGCCCAGTATCTTCTCTATCAGTTTTCTTTCTACACAGTGGTGCTGAGGATGAGGCAGGCCTGACTATACTTGATACTAGGACTGTGTTTTCACCTCCCTGTCTATAACGAGTACCTCCCCCATGTGCTACCCTATGCTAGACTCTATGGATAAGACCTGAACCACAGCATACTAAGATAATACATGTTGCATCAATTTTTCAAAGGTAAACGGCTTGACAAATATGTGTGAGATATTATTAGATTGAAAGTATAATAGCTATAATAGTCAATTTTCCTCTATTATGGCAAGCTATTTGAGAAACTCTCATGACACATTTATGGAAGGATTGGAGAGAAGTAGATTGGATAACAGGCTTAACGATGCTTCATAGCTGGTTGGTGAACTCAACAGTATTCATTGATGAATACCTGCTCATGGGGACCCTGGAGTGTCCAGGAAAATGGAGCTCACATTCTCCGAATGCCTACTTTGCAGGCGTCATGTTAGGGCTGTCACAGCCTTTTTCTGTTTATCATTCTTACAAACCAAGGAGGTAGATTTTTTCAAGGCAATTTTACCCCTATAATAGAAGTAGGATTTCTTTTGTTTTTATTATAACAACCATTATGTCTCTTGAAAAATAAAAGCTTAGAAAACTATAGTTAAAAAAAAAAAAAACACCTTTCCTATGAACAGGAACCTACTCACATTTTGATGTGTATTCTTCCAGGCATATGACAATCTTTTGAACAAGAAATGTTGTCTCAACCTGTCCTGTGTCACTACTGTACTGTGTGTGCACATTTTTCATGTAATTATTTGTCATAGTTGTTTTTTGTGGATTTTCTGGTCTTGTGTATTACCATATTTAATTTATCTTTCAAAAATAGTCTTTTTTTTTTTTTACCTATATGTGGCAAATATTGTATTGACTTTTTAACTTTTAAAGTATGTTTTTATATAAAAGTTTTAAACTTCATATAACATTGATCAGTCTTTTGTGTAATTGTTTCTACCTTTGATATTAGATTCCAAAGGCCTTTCCCATACAGCTTATATAAAACTGTGTACCTTGATTTTCTTCTAATCATTTTTACATTACAAATTTAATGCAGCATAAGAGACTATATGCTTGTGAGCTATAGATCTAATTCTTTCATTCTCAAATGATTATCCAGTTGTCTCAGCCCCAACTTTGAATAATCAGTTTTTTCCTTCTGCTTTTAAATGTTTTTATTATATGAAAAACTCCCCTGTTTAATTCTTACTGTTTTTATCATCTGTATTCTTTATCATGGATATTTCTGCTCGTTTATTTACTGGTGCCAATATTTTAATTATGAGTTCACAAGATATATTATCATCTTAAGAAAGTGCCACTTCCATATTCCTCAAATTTTCTTTACTATTTTAAGTACTTATTCATTGTTTTAAATAATAATCTTATAAAATTTCAGTGAAAATTGTATTTACTTTTGTTCTACTCTATTAAAATTGAATTGAACATACACAGAACTTTCTCGATTGATAAGGAAGTTGCACATCTGAGAGAGTCAATGACTGTTTCAAAGTGACAGAATTAAAAATCAACAGAGCTGGGAAATGATCCCAGGTGTATTGTCCCCAAGAGTACCTGAAAGGATGGAGAAGAGGCTAGATAAAATGGAATCAAGACCCAAAAATGTCTTGACTGACTGTGTAGATGAAAACCTCACTTCCAAATTTTAACTCTGCCAGCACAGGGTATTACTCTTAAGCAAGTAGAGGAGACCTTGCTTAACAATCGTTTTCAGAAAATGTCTTAGGGTTTTTAGGCTGTAATCCCAATGTGAGCAGCGCCGTGCCATAAATGCTCCTCAGACTGTAACAACGAATACCGTCAGTGGTTGTGAAGAACATTGAACAGATCTTGGCTCTGTAATCAGAAGAGTTGGTAAGAAATTATAGGTGGCCCATGGGATATGACAATGATAGTAAAGATTCTCAGAACAAAAACAAGCAGGCTATATCTGGCAGCTGTGAGTGTAACGCCTTCCATATCTCAGGAGAGATGTTGGGCATTTACATACTTTAGTTCATTTACTATTATAGCCTCGAAAAAAGATGGTCTCATCACTGATTTCCATGAGAAAAGGGGATTCAACTCTAGTTCATCTTTATGAGAGGTCTTAAGTCCCTTACCTTACGTTCCCTTTTCTTGAAGAGATCAGTGAGATACTATGGCCCTTCCTAAGTTCTTGTATGTGTGTGCCTGTGTGTGTGTGTATGTGCTTGTGTGTCATGTTTGTACAGTGTATATAAAAGAATAGTTTTACCAGTAGGACTTTTACCTACCAGTAAGACCACATTTAAATTCACCTAGTGGATGCCTGTTTTAGTACATTCTTCTGTATAATGAATTCACCTTTATGCACGCCAGCAAATTCTCTGGAGATGATCTTACTAACCTTTTCGGTAATTTTAATGTGACTCTCAACTAAAAGCATAAATTTATCACTCTGCAATAGTAGATGGTGAAGTTGAAAGGATGCAGTATTTAAGAGTGACTATTTTGCATTTTCTGTGACTCATTAAAAATTATAGGGTGAAGCCAAATAATTCCAAACATCATTTCGGTTGAGTCGAGCTTTCATAAGTAAGGATTTGCAGCATCATTATCCATATAATTCTGTGACCCAGAGAGAATAGTAAAACAGTGCAGTGCTGGAAAGTGGGAGGGTGGATGCTGTAATAGGACTGTCTGCAGTTGCGTTTGTTCTGACTTGCAGTGTATTCCAAAGCACTTCCACTTAGCTTTTCTTCAAAAAAGAGCCAAGGGATTGCTTTCTTATTTTTCAGTTACTACAATGAGCACATGAACATCAGCAGAAAACACTGTTGAAATAAGAAAAAGACGCTCTTATGCTCTTCATCTCTGAAAAATGTGGTTGTGTTGGTAAACCTTTGTGATGAGCTCACACAGGCTCTGCTTGTAAACCTGTTGTAAATAACAGATGTTTGATTGTTCTCGCAGTGGCTCCGTGCTTCTTCAGAGAATCCAGTATTTTTAGCAGGTTCCCATGACTCATTTATGTTGTATTGAATTGGTTTGCTCTGTTAATGGCCTGTGCTTACAATCACGTGTTCCTGTTTTTTTTATTTATTTGGATAAAAGATGGCACTTAGCAGTTTTATAGCAGCATTCTGAGTTTCACATTTTCTAGTTTTCAAGCGTGTGCTGCAATTCTGCACAATCATTTAAGAAATGACTAGTAAGAGGAAATTCTGATTCCTGGTTATAACTGGATAAAGTGTTTTCATATGCAAAAATTATGTGTTAATAAAGCTATCACTAGCATTTCTCAATTATATTGAGTCTCTCCTGAAAACTAGAATCACATCATTTTCCTTTCTTCCTTTCTTCTGTATATTCAGCCTAGGGTAATGTTTGACATGTAATAGATGATCAGCAAAATGTTGTTGATTATTTAAATATAAGTAAAAATATACAAAACAGTTTAATATCAGTATTATGTAATTAAGTTTTGCAAAAGTATATATGTATAAGGATTAATAGCAAAGTCTAAAAGCAAGAATTCTTGAGGATGGTTTACTGATTTCTGATTTCAAAGCTACCGTTTTTTTAAGATGTGTTGAAAACTCAGGATGTCATTCTAATACTTGGTACAGTATTTACGGGCTGTCCATCTTCTTTGAAGCTCATAGCGTCCCCTAGATCTGATCTCATTAAATTTCATGCTGTTTCTCTGAGGTAGGTTATGAACCATAACTAAATTATAAATGAAAAGCTGTTAGATTTATAATAGAGTATTTCATGGATGGAGTCTCATAGGGCAGAGAGGCCTGGACTCTATATGAGCACGTCTCAGATATCTTAGGACAGAGTTGCTCCTAAGTTTACTGTATGCTGTTGTGTAAGTTCTAGGGTGTGGAAGAGAGAAGCAGTTGCCATCATTAACTCAGAAACCCCTAAGAAATACTCATCATGAATATTGCAAATATTGAAACAAAGGAAGATTTACTTATCTGGGTATCAGACAAACAGAAGAACCAGCTAGCTTCTGCTTGCAAAATATCTCAGTAGTGGGCTCCTTAGAGAAGTTGAAGCTGAGTGACTCTCAGGATAGGAAGATACGAGGCACCGTCAGCTCTTCTGCTCCCTGTACCCACCCACAAGCAGGACAACAGGAGCAAAACTACCTGAGTGTTGGGCCTCACCAAGATACAGGAAGGGAGAAAGGATCAGGGACTTTCCAGATCTCAAAGGCGAGTTAGTAGTTGAGATGGAAAGTACAGAACAGAGAATTACATACTATTTTCCCATATTTAAACCCTGCATGTTTATTCTTTGGGTCGGCAAAAAATGGAATATCTGTTTATATTTTATTTGGTGGATTGTTAGGCGATATATGCCTTACCATAGTCTAGTGACTTTTGAAAGGGCTTATTTCAAAATAGACTGGAAACTACTTGAACTACCAACATATAAGTTTTCAGTGAAGTTTGGGACACATCATTTCTACTAAAAAAAAATTGATATAAATTTCCATATGGTCACATTTTTCCATTGTAAATATGTTAAATTGGGTATGTAGATATATTTACAGATAAATATATAACAAAAAAGTGGTTCACGCACTTCTTGCCATTTTAAGAAATAAGAAAATATTTTCTATTATATAGAGAGAAGATTTTTCAAAAATTTGAATGCTTTTCTATGATTGTGTAGTGGTTTGATTAGATGCCTCTTTTGCTGTGAAACTGTTATAGCAGCCCAAATGTTTTGTAGGGATTTAATTTCTGATCTCTGTAGAAGTTTACACAAAATAACTTTGTTTCTAATGGATGGCATTCTTTTTTTTTCTAAAAGGAAATCAGAAGAATTGAATTTAAAATGTGACTTTAAACTCTGAAAACGTATCTGTTGGACCAAGAATATTTACATTGCACTTTCCTTTATACTATTTCTTTACCTTCAAATATGCTTTAAGAATCTTAGAAATCATTTAGTTTGAATGCTCACATAATCAGTGAGGCAAATGAGGCCTAAACCATTAAGTGACATAAATAAATGAAAATCAAATACTTATCTTTTTTATTTTAAATAATCAAAAAGAACATTGATACTGGGGCCTCTTTTCCTTTTCACTTGTATTTTAAAATTATATGAAGTAAAACTTTTTAGTGAGGGTGGTGGTGATAGGATCTTTTATATGACGATTTTGTGAACTGAAGAATACAAATATTTTCAGGGCACAGCAGCATTTAATTTTTAGTGTGTGTATGGGTATTGGGGTTCTCATAAAATTTGTATTTACTCTCAAACTTTAAAATGTCCTTTATGGTAATTACATACAAGGTTCAACACAATTAAATTGTTGGGTATCTGTTTATTAATTGAAGGTACATTTATTGAGCAATTAAATTAGGTGGAAGGAGAATTGGGATTAAGATGAAACTATAACAATCTAAAAAATGCAGGAGTACAATTGCTTGTTTGAAATGGTGTAACAGTTTCTACAAGAGGTCTTCAAAAAGTTCATGGAAAATGCATAGTAAAAAGCTATGCATAGTTCAAAACTATTTGCTCTAAAACTCATATTAACTTGCCACAACATGTCTGAAAAGGATCTAGTCTGAGGCACTGAGAACGATAAGGTATGAGTTTGAAAAGAGTCGCATGATTCTACTAAAATTGAACCATAAACTAATATCAAATTTATGGTGAATCTTGGATCAAAATGTGAAATTATTGATATTTTACAAAAAATTATGGGGGCAATGCTTCAAATGAATCAGCAGTTTAACAGTGGATAACTCATTTTAAGAAAGAATGAGATGATGTGGAAGATGAGCCTGCAATGGCAGACCATCCATATCAATTTGTGAAGATAAAATTAATCTTGTTTGTCCTAATTGAAGAGGATCACAATTAACATTCAAAACAATTGGCAAGGCCATGGACATCTCAGTGGGTTCAGCTTACACAGTTCTGGCTGAAAAATTAAAGTTGAGCAAACTTTCCACCCCATGAGTGCCAAAACTGTGGCACCTACATTAGCTGCAGACAAAAATAGAACTTTGAAGGGAAATTTTAAAGAAGTGTAATAAAGATCCCCAAATATTTCTTTGGAGAATTGTCATAGGAGATGAAACATGGCTTTACCAGTATGAACCTGAAGACAATGCACACTCAAAGCAATGGCTACCAAGAGGTGACAATGTTTCAGTCAAAGCAAAAGTGGGACCACCAATAACAACAAAGGTGGTGGCAACAGTTTTTTGGCACGCTCAAGACATTTGGCCTGATGACTTTCTAGAGGGCCAAAGAACAATAACATCTGCTTATTATGAGAGTGTTTTGAGAAGGTTAGCCAAAGCTTTAGCAGAAATATGCCCAGAAAAACTTCACCATAGAGTCCTTCTTCACTATGACAATGCTTTTACTCATTCCTCTCATCCAACAAGGGCAGTTTTGCAAGAGTTTTCATGGGAGATTATTAGACATCTACTTTACAGATCTAATTTGGCATTTTGTGACTTCTTTTTCCTAATTTTAAAAAGTATTTAAAGAACATCAAGTTGTATTCAGTTAATGTGTCAAAGACTGCATTAATATGTTTAAATTCCCAGGCCCCTCAGTTCTTTAGATATGGACTAAATGGCTGGTATCATCACTTACAAAAGTGTCTTGACCTTGATGGAGCTTATGTTGAAAAATAGTTTATCTTTTTCATTTTATTTTATTTTTCAATTTTTCACAAACTTTTTGAAGTCCCCTCATATTATTCAGTGCCTCTTTATATATTTTTCTTTTATTTCCAATATATTTGAAAGCATTTAAGACAACTTACAAGACACAAACATGTCAAGATGAAATAAAATATGAAAAATAATACAAAAGAACAAGATATTTCATAGTAAATCATCCAGTTATAGTTCACTCAGAATTTAGAGATGAAATGGAGAAGGGGAAATATATTTTCTGTAGAATTACTATTGCCATGAAATATTATATATTTATTAGACAGGATTGACAAATTTGTCTTTAAGCTTCATTGCAGCAAAAGCTAATATGGAAACCTGTTAGGTACAATATTTACAGTGCCCATATTGTAAACAAAAACAAAGGCAAAACTATTGCCTAAGAGTAAGAACTATCATGACACTAACAATGTAAGTCTTCTGTTGTCTAATGCCTTTAGAGACATTCTCAACACTTCTGAAACAAACACAATGATAAATCTCATTGGCTGCTTGTTAAAGCTCCCTTTATATTACATGTAGAGTATCAGTGCTAAGTATAAGGAAAAAGTAAACCTTGAATATAGATGTGTCTTCTATAGAATAACAGTGCTAAATATAAGAAAAAAATTAATCTTGAGTACAGATGTTTCTTATACAGTAAGAAAATTAGAATGACCTAACTAGTCAAATGTTTCCTTTACAATGATATTAGGGAGTTCAAAGCTAAATTTTTTATCATCTTGTAGTAACCATTATATGCTTGCTTTTAAGCACCATATTGTCTGTTGGAAATTTTGATATTTATTTTTTGTTTCACTTTCCCACCATTATTACATGTTGTTCTGAGTGGTTTGTATGGTCAACAGTTGAAACCAAAGAGCTGGAGTAGGGTGTGAAAAGAGGACAAAAACCCCTGGGCAGAGACGCACCAAATTCAAGGTACCCTGGGAAAACTGTGGTAGTATTTACGGAAAAACATGCTTGGGTCAAATTAAAAAAGGATGAATGTATAATACGTCACTGGATTAAAAGGATACAGTGTAGAAAAAGAAAAACAAGCTATGTGAGTATTAAAACTCCACAGAATGCATTGAAGAGAAATATTTCCTTGAGTTTGTATTTGTGTAAAAGTATGCAAAACCAGGAAAACTTGGAGATGAGTAGAATAGGAGAGAAGTCATTTTCCTTGAATGATGGGACAGTGGTTCATAGACTGAAGTTGGGGAGTGGTGGTGAGGAAGGCAGATCAGATAAGGCCTTAGAAGGCATCATGGTAGGTGTTGGCTTTTCCTTTGCATTGAATAGGAAACAGTGGAGGGTTATGCTTAGAAGAGGGACATGACCTGACTTACTTGACACTGTATTGAAAATAGAAAAGTATAGCAAGAGTGTCAGTAGAGATCAGTTAGGAACTAATATGATGATCCAGCTGAGTCTGGAGAGGGGCTTGTACAAGGTGATGAGAAGCCATTGGGTTGTAAGTCTCACTAGAAAGTAGAACCAACACAGTTGATATGTGGACAGATTGTGTATATGTGAAAGAAAGAAGTATAGAGGCTGTTTCTTTGGTTTGTCCTGCAAACTGGAAGAATAGAGTTGTCAGTAATTGAAATGGAGAAGACTTCGGGAATGGGAGAGTGGGAGGCAGGTTTGGTGGGGAAAATATCAGGTGGTTTTCTGAGATGTCTATTAAATATTAACCAGAGGTGCCAAGCAGAAAGTATACATATGGGCTCGGACTATTGGACTATGGTGGAGATTTCTGAGCTAGAGGTACACATTCGGTAGTCATCAACACACAGATGACGTCTGAAGCTATGGTATTGGGTGCAGTCACAAAGGAGGGAGTGAAGAGAGAGAAGAGGTTAGCGCTATGGCTACACCAACATTGGAAGTTAAGGAGTTGAAGAGAGTAAGTAACAGAGAATGAGCAAAAGTACCTGAAGGGGGTGGGAGAAAGGAAAGGACACTGTGGTATCCAGGAGGCCAAATGTAGAAAGTGCGTGAAATAGGAAGGGATCAGTTGTGAAAATCATATTCTCAGTTATCTAGTAAGATAAGTTATCTAGTAAGATAACTGAGAATTCACTACTCAATTTGGTAATGAGGTGATGACATTGTCAAGATCAGTTGGTATTATACTTTGTATTGTTTTCTAAGTTCTGAAACAGATTATGATGTATTTCTTGAGCAGGTGATACGGAGAATGCAGCATGAGTAATTATGGTTTAACTGTGGTATGAGATATTAAAATCCACATACAAAAACCAACAATACAACAAAACAAAACACATAAAAATACCATTATCTTGACAGGCTTCTTCAGGGTTTTCTGCTTTGAAGATCTTTAAAGGTCTGTTTAACCTTTAACCGGAGACTCAAATGCTAAAGAGGCCTTAATTGTGTGTTTTTCCAGCACTGGTGGTATCTGCTACATTCCTTCTGAAGGTCTTTTTTGGCTGTAGGACAAAGCAATTTCTATTTCATTAGTTTTCTATTCAGAGCTATTACCCTTGGACACAAAAAGGAAACATTTGTCCCCTAAGGAACTGATGAATGAATTTTATGTGCTGTTATGAAAAGAATCACTAGAATTTATCTTCACCTTCAAACACAGTTGAACGTTCTTCAAGAAGGAAATACCTTAGTATATTTTATTGTAAAGTCTTATTACTGTAAGACTATGAGATGATAGTTATATAGTACCAACATAATCAATTTTTCAATGAAAAGAAATTACTCAACCAAATATTTAGTATCACAGTGAGGAGGGGTTATATATTTTGTTAATTTAGATGAGTTAATTCATTTAAGTTCAGATAGTAGATACATTAAGTAATACGTAAATATCAAACTTAAAAATCAAGTCAAAATTCTAAATTAATATTTAATCATTTATGTAAGTTAATTTTGTTTCCAAAATCTCTAAAACATACTTAGCCGAAAAAGCATAGTCTTAATTTAGTTGAGCTAATAGTCTTTCCATTGTAAACATGTTCATTGAGCTTCTGTAAAATGAGAGTGTCTTTATACAATAGTGGTATCATTATCTCTTCATTAGAATATGTAGATAAATGCGGTTCCCTTTTAAAATATCTTTACTGTTAATTTGCTAACATTTTTCATTTTTTAATCTTTAAAATTATAATACATAATAAAAGGCGAATTATGTGACATTAATTCTGTTTTCAAGTTATTTTTAATGGACATGGTTCTTCAGAACTACATGAAACACACCAGCAGGTAATATCAAAATGGCTAAAAACAACACAACTCCAACTTTAAAGAAAAAAATGATTCCCATGCTTTTCCTAGGCATTTGTGGATCTGCTAGTTATCAAGGTTAATTTTCTCTGTTAACAGAAAGCATGAACAGACAACACTGTTCATGCTTTCAAACTTTTAAAAGTCTGCTAAATGTGGAAGCTGGTAGATGATATACTTTATTGGCTGCTCTATTCTGTCTTAGCAACATGTCCTGGAAATAATGAGTTCTACTGCCACGTGGTTGAATACAGTGCCCAGGACTCCATGTAGATGCTTTCTGGAGCACTCTGTGACTCCGGGACCCCCAGCACATTCGTGGCCACCCAGCCAGGCTGTGATGTCCAGGCCAGGGGACACCAAGGGAAGGAGAAGAGAGGTTGCCAAAATGGGAGGAGAGAGACTTCCACATCCAAAAATGTCAAGAGAAAGGATTTAATTTTAATGGGAAAACAGCTTTTCCTGCTGTCCTCCCCCAACCCTGACTTCTTTTATATTCTAGGGGGAATTCATAAATTTAGTCTGTCTTTCTTGGAGCAGAAGTAAGCGTTAGTAACGTCCTCAAACAATTTTTTAAAAGGTATTAGCCATAGAAATAAATTTACAGGAATTATAAAATTATAGATTGGGTTGAAGAGTTGAAAAAAATAAAATATGTAGATTTATTTATTTATCATCTTCTGAGTAGGGCTATAACAGGTGTTAAGTATCAGACTTAAAATATATATAAAATTAGTGTTGTAGCCTATATTTATTCCTTGACATTTCTTATTAGCTAGACATAATTGCCTCAATGTGAATTGGACTGGAGAACCCATGATTTTCCCAGTGATGATGGATGACAGGATGTTATCTCAAACTGTGAGATGGGAGGTAATTCAGTTTTCAGAGAACATTATGTAATGCTAATTAAATTAATCCTCGGGTTATGTGGCATGTCTTGGTTAAGGTATTATGCTGAGTGCTTTAATTTGTTAGGAAGCTTCTCTGTTTTGCCTTTCATATCTAGTTTACCTGTACTACTAGTTCAGTTGGCCACTTGCAAAAGACGTGACTCCAGTTTGGTTGTTGGACATTATATGATAACATCTTTACTTCCTTGAATATGTCATAAACAGCAAGATGTGAAAGTAAAAGCAAGCTATGTAAGTGCTTTCCCAAGCTAACAATAAGGTGTATGCTTTACAGATTACATTGCAAGTATTTGATGCAGCCTAGTTTAATGTACTTGCCAGCACCTATTTCTAGCAATGAAAAGGTTTTCATTTAATGCTAGTAAGATTTGGAGGAAGGCAAGTGTGGAGTGGCTGGAATTTGGTGAGAAATCCTGAAACCCAAATCCACACAAAGTTGCTCAAGAAATTTTCTCTGATGATGAATGCAAATGTTTTTTGAAAGTTCCTAGAATTTAGAAGCTAATAGCACTGAAAACCTCTTGTTTGAGAGGTGCCCCAATCCTACTCCTGATAAAACGCCTAGAGCTAGTTTTTTATAACTTTGAGTTCAACCTACGGATTTTTTTCCAAATGAAATTATGCAATGAGGAAAATAATCCTTTGATATTTGCAACCTTTTTTTTTAGACAAATTTTAAGATCACCTCTAGGTTTGCAGCGCAGTTGAGCAGAAGATAGAGATTTCCTACACACCACATCTCTTAGCAAGGCACATCCTCCCCTAGGGTCAATATACCTTACCAGAGTGGTCCATTTGTTACAGTGGATGAACCTACATCAACACATCATCATTGTCCAGGGTCCATAGTTTACATTAGGGCTCACTCTTGGTGTTGTACATTCCATGGGTTTAGACAAATGTATAATAACGTGAATTCACCATTATAGTGTATCTCAGAGTATTTTTCGATGGCCTAAAAATCATCTGTGCCCTAAAAATCATACTTTTTAACTGTTGATTTGATAAATTTCTCAGATCATGGCCAAGTCTGTGTCTACAAATAGAAAATAATTAGGAAATTAAACCATTCATATGAACAGTAAGTTGTTTTCTGTTTGTCTTTTGTTTTTTGTTTTTTTTTGAGACAGAGTCTTGCCCTGTCACCAGGCTGGAGTGCAGTGGTGCGATCTTGGCTCACTGCAACCTCTGCCCCCCAGGTTCAAGCAATTCTCCTGCCTCAGCTTCCTAAGTAGCTGGGATTACAGGGTCGCACCATGCCCAGCTAATTTTTGTATTTTTGGTAGAGACGGAGTTTCACCATGTTGGCCAGGTTGGTCTTGATCTCTTGACCTCGTCATCCACCCGCCTCGGCCTCCCAAAGTGCTGGGATTATAAGCGTGAGCCACCACACCCAGCCTAAGATTTTAATAAATCACATGACGAGACTATGGTTTGCATTATCAGAAACGTTTTAATTTGAAAGGCAGGTATTACTTCAAGCCTTCATTAGATTTAGAATTTCTTCTACTTTATTGAAAATATTTGACAATTTATACTTTTAAAAGTGAGGGACCACCTGTAATTGGTTTATAGCCAAATGTTTAGAAAAGAATACATTACTTAGAATTCAGTGGCAGCCAAATCAATGTCATTTATACATTTAAAAGTATATATTATTGCTTTTATATTTTATATTTTAGAAAGCACTACTCTAAGCACCATATTAAAAAAAAAAAAACACTTTCACTTCCATGGAGGTTCTTATTTTGTATGAGAGATAGGCAATTCTACTATAACACAAGTTAGACTATTGTATATTTCAAAAAAGGATGCCAAGTAAATGCTGTAGGGGAAGGAGGGAGGATAGGTCTCTAGAAATAAGTAAATGTTAGTTTGAGGGATTAGAAGCCTGGTCTTTTTAGATCTTAACTTTGTTCCTTTAATGACAAAAATGTGGAAGACACGCCACTTGAGACCAAAGACAAAGAAGACACTCCACTGATAAGGCAGCAATCTAGTGGGAAGAAAAAAGATGAATGCAATAGATTACATGCAAATTATAAGCAAGAAGTATAAATGGATGGTATGGAGCAAAGAAATGGTTCTTGATTCACCCTGATAGGTGGCTTCCCAGAGGAACGTGACACTTCAGTGGATTTTTTTTTTTTTTTTTTTTTTTTTTTTGAGACAGAGTCTCGCTCTGTGCCCAGGCTGGAGTGCAGTGTTGCGATCTCAGCTCACTGCAAGCTCCACCTCCCGGGTTCACGCCATTCTCCTGCCTCAGCCTCCCGAGTAGCTGGGACTACAGGCGTCCACCACCATGCCCGACTAATTTTTTGTCTTTTTAGTAGAGACGGGGTTTCACCGTGTTAACCAGGATGGTCTCGATCTCCTGACTTCGTGATCCGCCTGCCTCGGCCTCCCAAAGTGCTGGGATTACAGGCGTGAGCCACTGTGCCTGGCCTTCAGTGGATTCTTAAACAATGAACAGGGTCCATTAGGAAGACAAGTTTGAGCGTGTGTGTGCGTGTGTGTGTGTGTCAGTGCTGGCTAGTTGAGGAGGGTATTCCAAATAAAATACTTAATAAGAAAATGCACAGAGAAGTGGAGAAATAATGGTGCACATGGGTAGCTACAAGTAGTTTTGTTTCCACTAACATGGAGCTTTATGGAGGAGGTGGAATAATGATCTGGAGAAGCAGTCACATTTCAGGTCATTATCTTCCTTGACCTGGGGACTTACTGAACAAACAATCTGAGCAGGGGAAGGTCATAATCAACTTTTGTTTTAGAAATATCATTTTCATGGTGTTAAGGTAGAGGAACTGGAATTGGGAAATGATTCAAGGCAGTGCGATTATTTTAATAGCACTGGTAAGAAATGAATGGGTCAAGGGTAAGAAGGCTTCAATGAGGTTAAAGAATAGTGGAGCGGGAGTGAGGGAATCTGAGTTGAGAGCAATACAAGGCTACGAGAATGAAAATTTGGGATTTGAGTTTTCAGAAATATAATAATTTAAAGTGATGACAAGAAAGAGTTTGAAAATGCTACTAGACTGTTAGAAAATCAGAGATTGAGAAAAAGGGAGCAGTCTAAAACAGACCAATTCATTTGGCTTAGAGGTAAAACACAAATTCATTATTCAACCTGAAGTACAGTTTGAGGTACAGAGTGTTGATAATTGATACGAAATGACCTGAGAATTGTAGATATTATGGAAGGTGATAAGAGCTATAAGTATTAAAAAGCAGGGACGGATATGAAGAATATGAAGGAGATCCAGAGGCATGGAAAGTAGACAGATGAGACTCTTACATAAGCAAATGAATGTTGCAAGAGAGAGGAGAGATAATTGGCAGAAGGAAAAAATTAAAGAATTTTGAAGACTAAGATAAATCTACCAATCTTTCTACTTAGGAGGCTTACCAAATCTCAACAAAAGGAAATAAAGAAATTCACATCCAGAGACATCATAAATCTGCAAACCAATAAAGAGTACTGTCTTGCAAGTAGCCTATAAGAAGACCACTGTCAGACTAAGATTCAGCATTTTACAGGGTCCCTGGGAACCAGGAGACAAAGTGCCTCCAAAAATAACTAATGTCTTGAAGATGTACACCCAGTAAAATTTTGGTTCAAAAAGGAGGGCAAGAAAAATATCTTTAGTTCAACAGAAAGAGTTTACGACCAAAACTGCACTGAAGTAAAGGAATTCTAAAACATGATATTCATGCAGGTCTGAAGTGTCAAATGGAACTGTGCACCAGGAAAATGGTAAATAAATTAGAAATCTCAACAAAGTATGCCTGGCATTGATATTTCAGTTGTTAGCCTGTGATCAGTTTTAAGCATATGATCAGTTTAAGCCGAAGTTATACTTCGAAATAACAAAAATCAATAGCCTCTCTTAGGTGGAATCAGGAGTAGGCAATAGGTTTTTGTCTCCTGAGTATTCAGAGTCGTCACTGGTCTACAATATCAAGGCAGTATCCCCACAAAGACTGGTAAATACTTTCTACCCACAGCATTAAAGTCATACCCAATACATGTGAATACTCTTCCCAAAACTTCCACTGCAAACTTTCTTTTCTCATTATGATTATTGATCAGGCTGTTTGTTCCTCAAATCCACACACGTATGAATGAATTCATCCACACACACACAAACACATACATCCATGCACACATATGCACAAATACTTAAAATACCAGCAAGAAAATAATTGAACAGTTTACTTTCTAAATAGCTGCTATTTGATGGTAGTATACCTAGTTAGGGGAAATAAGTTATTAACTTAGTTTTAAGAAATATTTGTAGTACCTGTATAATTTCACTCTCTCTCTACACACACACACACACACACACACACACACACACACAAACTGGATACATGGGTCTGGTCAAAAGTTTGAAATTGAAAATGTAACGAATTTAAAAATTTTGTTTTAATAGGTTTTTGGGGAACAGGTAGTGTTTGGTTACATAAGTTATTTAGTTTTGATTTCTGAGATTTTGATGCACCCGTCACCTGAGCAGTATACACTGTACCCAGTGTGTAGTCTTTTATCCCTTGCTAACCCCCACTCTTTCCCCCGAGTCCCCAAAGTCCAGTGTATCATTCTTATGCCTTTATATTCTCATAGCTTAGCTCCCACATATGAGTGAGAAAATACGATGTTTGGTTTTCAGTTCCTGAGTTACTTCACTTAGAATAATAGTCTCTAATTCCATCTAGGTTGCTGCAGATGCCATTATTTTGTTCCTTTTTATGGCTGAGTAGTGTTGCATGGTGTGTATAACATTTTCTTTATCCACTCATTGATTGATGGACATTTGGGCTTGTTCTGTATTTTTGCAATTGCCAATTGTGCTGCTATAAACATGCTTGTGCAAGTATCTTTTTTGTATAATGACTTCTTTTCCTCTTGGTTGATACCCAGTAGTGGGATTGCTGGATCAAACGATAGATCTACTTTTAGTTCTTTAAGGAATCTCCCTATTGTTTTCCATAGGGACTGTACCAGTTTACATTCCCACCAGCATTGTAAAAATGTTCCCTTTTTACTGCATCCATGCCAAAATAATAGATGCCAACATCTATTATTTTTTTGATAATGGCCATTCTGGCAGAAATGAGCTGGGATCACATTGTGATTTCGATTTGCATTTCCCTGATCTTTAGTGATATTGAATATTTTTCCATGTGTTTCTTGATGATTTGTATATCTTTCTTGGGGAATTATTCATGCTCTTAGCTCACTTTTTGATGGGATTGTTTGTGGTTTTCTCGCTGATTAGTTTGAGTTCTTTGTAGATTCTGGATATTAGTTCTTTGTCAGATGTATAGATTGTGAAGATTTTTTCCCACTCTGGGTTGTCTGTTAACTCTGCTGATTATTTCTTTTGCTGTGTAGAAGCTTTTTAGTTTTAAGTCCCATCTATTTATCTTTGTTTTTGTTGCATTTGCTTTTAGATTCTTGGTCATGAAGTCTTTGCCTAAGCCAATGCCTAGAAGGGATTTTCTGATGTTATCTTCTAGAATCTTTATGATTTCAGGTCTTAGGTTTAAGACCTTCATCCATCTTGAGTTGATTTTTGTATAAGGTGAGAGATAAGGATCCAGTTTCATTCTTTTGCATGTGGCTAGCCAATTATCTCAGCACCATTTGTTGAATAGGGTGTCTTTCCCCACTTTATGTTTTTGTTTGCTTTGTGGAAGGTTGGTTGGTTGTAAGTATTTGGCTTTATTTCTGGGTTCTCTATTGTGTTCCATTGGTCTATGTGACTATTTTTATGCCAGTACCATGCTGTTTTGGTGACTATGGCCTTATAGTATAGTTTGAAATCAGGTAGTGTGATGCCTCCAGATTTTTTTTTTTTTTTTCCTTAGTCTTGCGTTGGCTATGTAGGCTGTTTTTCTGGTTCCGTGTGAATTTTAGGATTGTTATTTCTGGTTCTGTGAAGAGTCATGGTGGTATTTTGATGGGAATTTCATTGAATTTGTAGATTTCTTTTGGCAGTATGATCATTTTCACAATATTAATTTCTAGCCATCCATGAGCATGGGATGTGTTTCCATTTGTTTCTGTTGTCTGTGATTTCTTTCAGCAGTGTTTTGTAGTTTGCCTTGTAGAGGTCTTTACATCCTTGGTTAGGTATATTCCTCAGTACTTTATTTTT